TTTTTTATTTTCATTATATCTCATGTATTCAGGGGGGGTACACCTTGTCCTGAAGTGAAAGTTCTGAGTTCGAGTCCTGTTCTGGAATTTCTCTTTTTTTCGCTTATTGTTTCTTTTTCGTTTGTTTCTTGTTTTTTTTTTCTTCTTTCTTGTTTTGTTTTCTTCTTTTCTTTGCTGTTGTTTCTTCGTTTGTTTTTCTCTAGAGATTTTCTCTTTTCGGCTCTTTTCACCTTTAACGCTAAATCGGAAGACAAACCTTGTTCCCAGACCCCCGCAGCATGAGAGATCGTACGCATGCGCATTGATTATTTACACTTAGCTTCGGTTGCCTTGGAGAACATCAAAATGGCGGACAATGTAACTTAAAAACTGCACGAGAAAACTTCAAAGTTTTCTACAAATATAAATATGTTTTCTATGACGGAAATTGGGGGGAATGCAAGTGAAGTTGGTGAAATCCTTGTCAAGGTGAGGTTTCTACGAAGKTTTGTGCCTATTTGARTACTTTTCGCTGAGAATTTTTAAAAACCTTTAGGATAAGCTTAAATATTTGTTTTGCTACAATGTAGTTGCCTGTTTTCAGAGCCCTTTTCAATGTGCACTGGACGAAAAAGTAGCTTAAAACAGTTGAAATTATTGGATGAAAGAGACTTTTTCAGMTGTTTTTACATTCTTTTGACTTGTTTTGAATACAGAATGAATTGACATCATCTTTGGCACGAAATGTTGTCGTAAGCCTAAACATTGGCATGATAGGAAATAATCTTGCACTTATGTTATTGTTATTGTCACCAATTAATTCATATGTATGGTATCCGTTATATTGAAATATTGTCCCTGTAACATAAGCTTACTAGATACTTGTTCTTACTGTAACATGCATTTGACTGCACTGTACATACAGTAAGCTTATTTAATAAATTTTCATTGAATTGTCTATYCACACAGGTCTAATAACTCACACATTATTTCACAGGTTCAAGATGACTTAAGACATCTTAAAGAACAAATTATTAGTTCACAAGTGATTGGCTCRACGCAAGTCATAGACCTTCACACTTTAGAAACTGCTATAGAAAGAACTGAACAAAGTGTTAGGGTAGGTGTTATGATTAATTATTAAATAATCAATTAATGATTAATAATGACAGTCTGGTTTCGTATACATGTTGGGTGCTTTTTAGCATTTAAATATGACAGAGATTCTTGTATTTCATTTCAGTCTATAAAATTTACAATTAAAAATACAATTAAACCTTTATTGTATAACCCTCTATAGCTGTAACTTACCATTAGTGGTCGCTAAAAAACCTCTTAAACTTTTAATCTCTTGTACATCTCTTGTATACTTGGCCTGTATTACAGTCGGCCAGCATTAAACAGACACCAATTGTCTTATTTTACAKAAGTTTACTATATGGGCTTGAAATGATTTCAAATTTTGTTTCTGCAATTTGTTAGCAAGAATTATTATTACATTTACATGTAGCATGAATATATTAATATGTACATGGCTTTAGACTTGTTATTGATGTTTATTAATTATTAAAAATGTATTGTTTATGGTGACAGGAAAAAGCTGAGCAAGTCATCAATGTGTCCAATAACAGAGTTCTAACCTTACCRTCTATTGATAAACCAGTGAATAAGAAAAGACCTGAAGTAGAAAGGTAGGAGAAATATTGTACATGATTGAAAAGACTACTTGCCAACATAGTTGGCTTCATAGCTCATTTGGTAGAGCATTGTACCAGCATCACAGAGGTCATAGGTAAATTTCCGTTGAAGTCTGAAATTTCTCTGATGATCCATTTATTAACAATCGCTTGGGCTGTTCGCTGGTCATTTTGCTGCGAGACAAGTTGGGTTGATGTAGTAATTACGGGCAACATCTTTAAGTTTTGTTTCTACTTTCTGCAGCAAACTTTTTCAACTTGCAACAAAAAAGTTTTGCTGCGAAAACAATTGGTTCACTGCCAGTAAAACGTGCAAAATTGCTTTGCCACTTGTTCTGCAGCAATGTTACCACAAAAGTTGGATGATTTTGCTGCTCGTATTACCGTACCTTTTTACAATAATTGTACTATTTGGTATGTGAGCAACTAAATGCAGGAATGGAATTGAATAGCTTTCTTATACCAGTCTGGCATTATTATTTTTTAGCGAGCAACAGATATCACGGCTGAACAGAAGCAAGTCTGCTAAGGAAACCTCGTAAGAAATACTTCATTTTTTTATAATTATAATTACTAGTATCTAATGTGAAGATTATATTGTGTTTTGAATTGTTATTGATATTTTTTATAGGTACAAGGGCCTACTGGAACCTATTCTTGTTGCAAAAGAAGGAAACAAACCATCACCAAATGCACCAGCACCAGGACAGCAGGTTTGCATTGCAATAGGCATAAGGGAAGAGGGTAGAGTGCATGTAAACAGACCTGAATAAGGAAACAACATATCCTACCTATATATGACTACCAAGGGCGGATCCAGGGAGGGGCAAATGGGTGCTGTAGCATGTTCTTTATACATGTAACAAATAAAGCATATTTTCAGTAGAGACCCCTTAAAATTTCAGCTGSAYCCAWCCTTGCCACTGTTAGCAGCTTAACTACTACTGACCCCCTCATTACTTTAAACTACAATATTAAAGAAATCTAAGATATATATATCTGGTATATACTTTAGGCAAAGAATTTAAGGGAACTTCAAATAATCAGTAATCCAAGTAATGTGTCAGCAAGAGCTTTGTTAAGTGAAAAGTATGGTGTTGGATTACCAAACTTGGGCAATAAAAGGGAACAAGCAAAGGAGGTATGTTCTCATTCTTTCTTTTTTTCAGTTTTCATTCACTTCTATTTTATTTCTTCCATTCATTCATTCACATATTTCAATGTTTACTGAATAGCTATACTTAATGTTTATCAACAAAGTCATTCTTATGTTAATGTGTCAACCATAATCAGAATGGCTTTTCACAAGTCGCTTTGTTCTTACATCCAATTATCTTCTGGTTGACACATGAATAACAAAGCCTTACATCACATTGAGTATCGCTATATTACATTTATTTTAAAGCAATGCAATCCTAAGTACTTTGCTTGTATTCCAAACAGATTCCAGGAAAAGTCATCACAGGTTCAACGTCAGACCATCTTAGCACCTTGCCCAAAGCGAACAGAGTTGACCCATCTGTAAGTAAGACAGAGTAGATTAGGCAGCAGTTGGCTGATTTTTCTTTGCCAATTAAAAATATTTTAATTCTGTAGTGTACACCTCCGCCCATTTCTGAAGATGATGCCCAGAAAGGCATTCTGAGCTTAATTGAGCGAGGGCTAATACCGGTGAGTACATGGCACATGTAGTTTTGAATTATAATTTATTAAAGGGTTGATTCATAATGTACTCTTCATAATTTTCTGTTTTTGCAGCCTGCAGCAGAATTAACTCTTCAGCCATCACCAGTGCGCCATGTCCAAGCACCTGTAAGTGTGTAGAGTCTGTAGTTTAATGTCCCCTTGACAGCTCAGCGTCCTGTCCTTTTTTACATCCCATCCCATCCACATCCCATTCTCCTAACTTTTATCATTTTCTTTCTTTATTSCCGTCTCACTCTTGCCTTCCTGATTGGTTTTTTCACCTACTTTGTTCATTTCATTATTTATAACTCGTAATTCTAAATATTGAATGTTTGTTGTTTCTCAGCTTCATGACCTCAGCACACAGACAAACAAGAACCGTGCTCCACCACCAGCTGATGTTGTCGGAGGTAAGCTGCACATATATGGCTTTTTGATTGTACTTGGTCGGATTAATACACTGTTTTTTACACATATGTACTTTTTAACCCCATCCCCACCCCCCTACCTAAAACCCCTATCCCACACCCCCACACTACTCCAGATGACAGTGTTACCATATAATGATTATTTCGTCTTATATTTCTTTTTAGTTGGTGGGTACAACCTTGCAGTTATCAAGGTATGTATAGTTGTAAATTATTTTCAGTCATTTGGATAAGTAAAATCTAGGAAACATTAAAATCATGGCCATGCATCTTATCATACATTGGTGCTGTGGTGTTTCCCCTTAGCAGGCGTAAAAACAGAATCATCTATGGTGGATTATTAAGTTGTGCTTATCCTCCATTTACCTTCCATATTTTAATAATATTTTATTATATTCTTCAATAAATAGATGGATCCATCGTCAGTCAAACTAGCCAAAGATTCATCGTTGGCTGAGAAGAAGAAACGTTCAAAATCGGCAGGACAACAACATCCACCTCGACCACATCAGTTGAATGATGTTAGTACAACTAATAAATCAAACTCACTTAACCTTTACATGTAGGGTTTTAGAAATAGTACATTTTAATGCCAAATTGAATGGACATTCATCTAAGACTWTTCTTTGTACTGACATACAAAAAATAATTGAAGTGGAAACTGCCATTATTGTTTCTAGGGTTGGACTGATAACTATCGACGAAAACCTTTACCACTTAAAGCTATTGAAGGTCCAGAACAAGTAAGGAAGAAATGTATATTTTATAACTTGAGTGTGACTAATTTCTGCCATGTAGATTATTGGCTCTATAACAGTCTCAAAATTTAGACACATTTTCTGTTTACAACCTGTCTTGTGCTGTTGAGTTCCTACATGTATCTATTATAGCAATTCAATATTCGAGTAATGAATAAAATCACCATGTCTGATTGACAGGTCCCAGTCCCAGTCCCCACTCCTCAAAGTGGTCTGAAGAGCATTCACAAGTTTGTCATTCAAAATGGGAAAACAAGAGTGACTTCGCAGGACTACTTGGACTTTAAACAACATTACTGTCTTTCCTGGGGAAGGTGAGTGTTGAAAGTCTCATTGAAACTGAATCAGCTATCTGTCATATAATCATGCAATGTGTGGCCAAGTTATGTAGCCATTTAATTCATCTTATACTTTGCCTTCTAGTATCCTTACCTTAATCATTCAGCTGGAAGAACTCATGACAAACTACAGCGTACCCATTGCATTTATTGATGGTGATAGGTAAGTTCATTATGGGTTGATTAATAAGGAAGCATCCCCAGTCATCATTAAGAGTCATGGGCTTCCTGTCTATTTTACTGAGATGAATAAGAGGGAGAATGGGAGCGAGAGGTCACTACTCCCTAGCAAACAATATGACAGTTACAAAGGAAGCTCAAAGAAAAAAGAGTTGTCTGGGAATTAGGTATTTTGTGAAAATCCAATACCTTAGGTGCGAAAACCATTCAAGATTCTTAGATTGACTAGGAAAAAAAAGATACCGTAAATCAAAAGCAAAGCTAAAATTATCCAAGCTTAATTTTTTCAAGGTACCATCTGCCACCTGGAATAATAATAATTATTTATTCATCTTTTTTTCAGGCTGGCTGATCTTGCCTTAGTATTTGAACTTGAACAGCAACCAAGTTTAGAGGTACATACATCAAAAGTCTCTGAATGACTGTTGTTTTTGCTTTGCTTCACCTTTTTTGGATACCTTGTTGCTCAAAGCAGTGAGCAATGTTGTTACTTAGATTCAAGCCTTTTTGTCATGTATTGCTATTATTGTTGTTGATCATGATGATGATCAGCATGATGATGACGACGATGACAATGATGAAGACGATGATGATGATGGCGATGATGACGATGAAGATGGTGATAGAGCGGATTTCGTATGAGTGGGACACCGTTACCGCACGGTTACCGCACAGTTACCGGACCTAGGCTGCACAATTTTGGTGAACAAATGGGGCACTAGAATTTGGTTACAGTACGATTACGGTCACAGTACAGTACCGCCCGTTTCCCACTCATACGAAATCCGCTCTATAATGACAACGATGGTGGTGGTGGTGGAATAATTATAATGGTGTACATGGTTATCATTGGCATTGTTTTATTTCTAGCACTTTCTTACTTGTATCCTCAATGGTGATGATGTCGAGAAAATCATTAAGACACCGGTAAGCTCGCAACACAACACTGCTTTCCACATTGAAAAACTTAAAGAATTAAAATTATTGTCATCACTACACTTTAATAGTGATATGTTTTTCTTGTTTTCTGTTTTTAGGGAAGGCGATACATTGGTCCAAGAGGATCTGAAGTAGCTGCAATTAAAATCCAGGTAAGCCAAGAAGACGGACTAGACTCCTGTCCAGGTAACTCTTTTTTCCTCCTTTGGGCTTCCTTTGTAACGGTCATCTTGGCCGATAGGGACTAGTGACGAGGAAGGAAAAAAAGACAGGAAGCCCGTGACTCTTAGTGATGCCTGCGGAGGGGGCTAGAAGAAGACCTGCTTCACTTTGGTTTGTAWTTGACTGTTTGTTTCATTGTCATCCACAGTCTACTTGGCGAAGATACAAGGATCGAACTGCGTATCTCTTGTACAGGAAACAGAAATGGGCTGCAGGTAGATTTTAACTCGTTCTTTTATTTTATTTGGGGTGTGGCGATATTAGGTTTTTCGGATCTGCCGATTCGGGCATTTTWGCGTGTTTTGTGGTATTCTTGGCTGMGAAAGTGTRGATCGCAAACATGACAAATGCGATTTTCCTTGCGAGTTTGGGCAGTTCTCGGAGAGTTTTCSGATTCTAACAAMCGTCTAGGCACCCCTCCTGATTATGTACATGCTCAGTTAGACCTGTTTGAAGACGCAACATTGATATACTCTTATTAAAGAAAAATTAAAATTTCTTCCCTTTCAGGTGTCATTGCAATATCATGGATCATGAATTGCAAACTCTCGATGATAAGGAAACAACTCAAAGAAACTAGAAAAAATCAACTTGAAAGGTTTAAAGTGAGGAGTAAGGTGAGGATATTTCCATTTTAAAAGACTGTGCTCAACCGGCATCATTTGCGAGCTTTCGTTTAGGTTTGAATATAAAAGATACATCGTAATATAAGCAAAAACATATTGTTTGTTCTCTTTTTATGGTCTGTGAATGGAGATATTGTATCGTTTCGATTGCGAATGGATATTTTTATGAAAAGTCTAAAACATTAGTACTCATTGAATGGTCGTGGACCATAGCCTTTTAAGAGCACAATGCAGACGAGCTCCAGACTGTATTAGCTATAGTAACCATATAGTAACGTCTGGAAAATGCGCAACTGTACTGTAGAAACTTAATAGCATAGCCGCAGCTCACACTAGTTTATAGCTATGAATAGGCTGCCTGTGTTCTGAAAAATAAAAGACGACCTTCTTCTGAAATGATATATTATTACTTTGAACAGTTTTCAAAACAAGGAAAACAATCTACATGTATTGCTTTTTTATTCATCGTCGAGGATATGTTCTTAAATTTATGAAAATGCTGTTTTGTTTATAGAAATTCAARGAAGAATGGAGTCGAATCAAACAGTCCAGACGTGTTGTCATTCATATCCCATCCATGGGTAAGACATCGTTATTAGCTCCCCACCCCACCCCACCCCACCACCGGTTTGTTTAATTATTGATTTGTTTTATTTATCTTGTAACCAAGGAAACTAAAACCTCTGTCTTTTAGGACATGCGCAACACATACGAGATGGTCTTAGTGATATCAATATATTGCAGAACTTACAGATGGGAAGATTATGTGATATAGCAGGTCAGTAAGGGCGTTTATTAAGTAAAAATTCTGAGATACATCGCAAAAAGCAATGTTGGAGTTAGTTCGTGAAAGAACAAAGCGTCATTTTAGCTCGTGTTTTGCATGATCATGACATGTGTCTGTTCATTTCCCATCAGACCCCAGGGTAGAAGTAATTTACATATGTCCTGTGGAAGTCAATGAGGAAGTTTACCAGTACTACTCCAAACTTCTTGCTATGAAGGCCAGGCCTCTAAGTAGTACCCATAARTCATCTGAAGATGAGGATGATATTGAAAATCGATACAAAATCATTGTCCCGGATGCTGTACATAGTTTCCCGGTAAGTAAGTTATAATAATCCATTGTCATCATCATCATCATCATCATGAGAGATCTTAGCATACGTGTATTATTGACTCCTTCCGATAAGGCTCATTCCCAGGCTACTCTCGGTCTGTCGCTTATGAAGTCACTTCATTTGATTTTGAGTTGAACTGACGGAGATCAGCCTAGGGACGAGACGAGTTTTTGTCTGATTTTTTGTTCTTTTCCTTGTTTTCAGACTCATAATATGTGTCTGTCGTCAATTCTAATGTACAGCCCTMGAACTATTAAAAGGTAAATAATAGGATAAAAGGGATTAAATAAATAAAAAAATGAGAAAATGGACGAATTTTTTCCAGTAATTTCTAACACAAAATTATAAAGTTGTTGCAGTTATGATATTTCGCATATTATATTATYAATTTATAATGATTTATTCTTTAGAATAAAAAACCTCATCAGAGGTCGTGATGCGTACATTGTCCCTGGTGTTCTACATAAGGACGAYATTTACGTAGCTGATCTACTTGGTAAGCAAATGCGTAACCGTAAAAAAGCGATGCGTAATATTTACACCGACGTTACGGTAATCCTGTTCGAGGAACTATTAACGTCCAAAATACGCAATAAGAGCGAGACGTATTCAACACTGGCATTACGGAAATCCCCTTTTACTTTTAAAAGTCAGAAGGCAATACGTACGGAAATCTTTGAGCAACGACAAATATTAAKGTTCAAAACGTAAGAGAAAGAGTTACGTATTTATCACTAAGGTCAACTAAGCACCTTTTAACCGTAATTAGCCATCGACGTCTAAAGCAAATCAGAAAACGTTACGTATCACTAAGAGTCTCCTTTTTGCAATTTTCAGATGTTCCRATCTTTAGTCCAGAACCGGAAGTGGCTCAGCTGTACTCGACGAAGTCTGGGTCCAAGCGGATATTCCTTAGTGCTAAAGTAGATATCCCATATGGACAGTTTGATATCTACAGTCTACCTCAGGTGAKTATCAGCCCTTTTGTGTTCTTGCAGCGTAAAATTGCTTGTATTATTGAACTTGCACCCAAGTACAGTCAACTCTCGCTATTATGGACACCCTCGGGACCGTAATTTAGTGTCCGAAGTAGCGAGAATCCCGTAATAACGGGAGTTACTTTCAGTCATTTCTTTGTATTTTTCGCCGGTGATTCAGTATTTCGTGTCCGTAATATCGAGGTGTCTGTTGTAGCGGAGTGTCCGTAAGGCGGGAGTTGACTGTACAAGGTTTTTCCAGCCCTAGTTTGCCTGCTAAAATACAAGTATTTTGATTCTTAGTTCATTACACCTGACATTTTTGTATCTTCTAGCTCCACGAATGCCTTGCTCAGCTTGTAACAGAAAATCTCTACGTGAARCGATGGCTTTTCAAAATGGATAATGAATTTGATGGGCGAGGGACAGGTAAATTTACYGCAATTTTCAGTCGTAGAATTCCGAACGGTCGATGTTCGAAGTTCGTTCGGTAGAATGTCGAGAGAAATTCGGGTTGTGTGGTTCCAGGTTTACATGACACTGGTGAAAAACGCACTGCGCATGCCCACAGCTTTCCCGCCAGTGGGCGCTCACGTCTTGAAATCTGTAAACAGAGCGCCTGGCGATTTACAGCGACAACACAGAAAACACTACAAAAAACCTCAATTTCTCAAAATAGAAATAACAAGATAAAAAWAGAAACTACATACTAAAAGGACCTATCATGAACAATGATTGATGGAAATATGGATCTTATATATCGGTGAACGAGCTTATAAATTGTAAAAAACTTTCRCAAAAATCGCTTTACAAAGGAAATTAGGAAGATTTCAGCGGGAACAGTGGACATGCGCAGTGCGTTTTTCACCAGTGTCGGTTTACATTGAMTATCTTGAACGTTCRGAGGTCGTTCGGGTTTTACTGAGGAGTCTCGGAAGCATTTTGGTGATTCATTAATATAATATCTAAATCTAATCTAGTCATAGATTGCTTCCCTATAAACATTCTTGTRTAAATAAAACAAAAATAGTTTTTTAATATTATGCATTCCCTTATCAGCTTACTGTGACATCACCCCGCATCTAAAGTGTTATCAGTGGGCACTAAAGGAATGCAATCGCTATGGCGAGAAATGGAGCAAGAAATGGGCTCACGAGCCCACACTCATTAAAGTGTCAGCGGAAATTGCAGATATATTAATCCAACATGCTACACCAGTTAAAAAGTCACTGTATCCAACATGGGACCGATTTCTTCAAGACTTTCTAAAGAGAGGTACGTCCAGAAACTCTTAAATGTGTAACCGTYATGCAATTATTGAGCTTCATTTCTCAATACTTTTGTCTWTRTTWCAGGGGGGGTTATCGAGGCTTGHCCACCTTCAGAGAGTGTAACAGCTCTTACCATAGATGTTGTTGTTGAACCAAATGGTGATACGAAAATCTTATCCATGGGTGATCAGGTAAGTACTTTACTGAATAAATATTCTTCTGGTATAACGGGAGAAARATAGCACGAGACAAATCWAGCGWAGAAACACGAGCGCGCCGAGTCTTTCTCTTGGTTCTTGAGTGGTCATTGGCTAAGAACGTGCATATATCAGAGGAGAGAAACAAATTAAGCGACAATTTCGTGTTTCTTTTAACAATTKTTTATCAATTTGTCGTTTACAAAACGCCCGCAAACAATATCTCTGAACTATGACATCATGGTCATCAGCCAATGAGATCGCGCGTTATATATCAAATAGTTTCTAAAGTTTTCGTTCTTTTCAAGATTCATGCGGCCTCACCCTTCATGTGTTGGGGTTATTCYGTACCACAAGCGTCCGTCGAGTCTGGTCAACTCTGTTTTGCAGCAGAGAATATCGCCCTGGCCTGCAAACTTCGAGGTATCATCGGACATTTTACCGTGGACTTTGTTACATTTATTGATCCCACATCGGTAAGCTTTTTGGTGTGAATTTTAGAGGTTGTAATGAAAATATGATATTATGTGCACGCTATATTATTGATACAACGTTATGCAAAAATAAATAGAATATTTGAAGTTGAGAACACTGGCCACGCAGGATCAATTCTTTCGATTATGAACTCGCGCTGTCGAAATGTCGAAACAAATCCATTTCAGGAATAGGTGAATATGATATAAACGACTATATTTCATTATAAAAAGGAAGGAAAAATTTTTCCGGCGAGGCTCGAACCCACGGTTCGTCATGACTACGACACCGCGAGTTCATAATCGAAATAATTAATCCTGGGTGGCCTTTGATTCGCTCTTTACCCCCAAGAACATTTTGAAATAGCTTTATAATACATCGAAAGTCACATATCACATGTCCATTATCGAAAGTGAACGAAAAAAAAAAAAAAAAACCGAAAACTAGCGAGCACAGCAGGGATTGTGTACACACCTACTTTCACATAGTAGCATAGTTACTTTGAGCAAGTTACGAGGTACGAGCCACAAAATAACCAAGTATATCATGTTCTCAATAGAACTAAGTCAGTTTCCAAGTCTTTATTTTTGCGTTTACGTTTTTGACATAAACATAAGTCTTTCACATAAGTCCTGTCGTCTGAAGTATATTTTTTACATTGTTGGGCTTCCTWTGGTTACGTCATTGTTAACATATGATATCTATGAATACTAGATGGAGCAATGCCTATGGGCAGTAGATCTCAAGCTACAGTATAGTGACAGCGCTACTATGACAAACCTCATGCTGTATGTGAGTGGAGGTCAAATCGATGCAACCAGRTCTGCTTTTGAAGTTCCTGTAAGACGAAAACGAGAAGAAAGCGGCAGAAGAAGACGAAGGAGAGTTCATGAAGAGGAAGAGGTATGACGGTCGTTTTGAATCTGACTCGTCTCCAGTCGTCTCTTTCTCTCTTGCGCGCGCGCGAAATGAGTCATGGGAGTGTCCCGTGCTCCATTGCGCGCGAGAGACAGACGGCAAGGGACAAATTAGTATTTTGAGTAGTTTTTTTTTGCAAAGTAACGAGGTAACTACCGTTTTCTTGGTGATCTCCAATCACAGGGATAAAAATCTGATCATTGATCCCAAAAATAGTTACAATTTGAATCCCTGATCCTTGTAAATCACTGAATAACTTCGTGATCCTAACTTACTAAAGTCACTGAGGCATCCTTATTCCCAAGCTGTAACTCAAACCCCAGAGGCATAAAATGACGCAAATGGGATCCTTGAATCCCCAAATAACGCTTATCTCAGATCTCATATATGTCGTTACTACCCTGTATTGCTGCGAAACAACAGCACTCCCGTGCATTCAATAGATCTAATCTATCCCGCGTAAAAACATCTAAGCTGGTCCCATTCTCTTCCATTAAGCATTCCACTTCAATTCCCTACATTTCATTCTACATACAGTCTGTCTTAAAACCTAATTAGCAATACCTTATTAGAGATCTGAATTCCGWTCAAACAATCATTCTTAACTGACATTTTGTTTGTTTTTGATGTACGTATTCAGTTACCTCCAAATCCAAACCGTTACGCCATCATGAGCACGCAGCTGACACACAGCAATCTAAGTGTTATCCACTACAGTGTGTTTTTCCAAATGTGCCGTGCACATGGAATAGGCTATGATATGAAGGTAAGACGACATCTACATACTGTGAAGGAAACTGGTGAAAAACGCACTGCTCATGTCCACAGCTTTCCCGCTGAAATCTGCCTAATTTCCTTTGTAAAGCGATTTTTGTGAAAGTTTTTTACAATTTATAAGCTCGTTCACCGATATATAAGATCCATATTTCAATCATTGTTCACGATAGGTCTTTTTAGTATGTAGTTTCTATTTTTATCTTGTCATTTCTATTTTGAGAAAATGAAGGTTTTCGTGGTGTTTTCTGTGTTGTCGCTGTAAATCGCCAGGGCATGCGCAGTGCGTTTTTCATCAGTGTCACTGTGAAGCCTATTTAATGTGACCAGAAACCTAAAAGGGACTTGAAACGTGTAGCGCCCGTACATTTCTTTAGTACCAAGCGTCGGAATATTCAAAGCTCATTAAAAATTTGAAAACGAACGTTATGACCATATTTGGAAAATTCGGCCGATGGATAAGAAATTTAAGGACCATTCTGGTTGGTTATAGGGTAAATTGAATTGTTCCAAATAAGGAAATGAGATGCAAATTAGATTTGAATATTCCAACGGATGGCACGAGGCTRCACGTTTCAAGTCCCTTATAGGTTTCTAATGTGACGCTAACGATCATGGACTCCAGAGCAGATATGAATCACAAAGAAAACTCGTTATAATTTCATTTGATGGACAACGAAGAGAAAATTACAGCACTASAATAAAGAAGATTTAGTCTAATTTTCTATTGTTGTCGGCGAATCTAAGCTTCCATTACATCAAAGTGAAAGAGGGCAATTTCTACAAATCTRCATCGTTCATATTTTTATCATGATGGTGTCCTTCCTATTTTGTATTAAGGAAAATTTGTTTTTATTTTTTTCAGGAACGCGCTGGCACTATCTTTACTCTTGTGGACAGTTCCAAAAGAGACCATCTTGGAATGCTTGTAATGAGCGATGATCTACAAGGATCTTTATCCACCTTTGCGCGTAATTTATCAGTGATTCACCAAGAAATATCTGCTCCCAACATGCAAGGAGAGAGCAATTTCCAGGTATTTTAATTAACAATTTTGATTTGAGGCAGAGGTCAAAGAGTTTTGATTCAGCGGAACTTCAAAATGGCGGTTAACGATAGATCGATG